GCCAAATTGCCAATTTCTGACCACTTTATTGGGTAGTTGAAATAAGTGAATGGGCAGTTTCTTTTACTCAGTTGACAGACTAGAAGTAAGTAAATAAGTGAGTTTATTCAGGTATATGCAAATAGTTACATGATTATCATACATAGCAGCATATGTATAGAGAACCTAGGATAACCCAAAAAAGTCAGTGACTTACTTCTAGTACCTGGCTTGGGCTTGCCATATGATTTTTGGTAAATATTTTTTTTTCACAGTTGTTTGTTGGGCAATCTCATTGAAACTTGGGCAATGTATGATGGAAAAATGCTTCTTAACATACACCAAAAATAAAAAAAATGGACGATAAATAAGGGGGTTCACTTCTCAGCCATTAGCCGCCTCTTTGCGGTATATTTTCGTATGGTTTTTGTGGTTTTATTCTCATTTTTTGGTCTCATTTGATAGAATGGAAGATATAATACAGAAATAGACATGATTTTGGTTGCTTTCATGAGGAAAAGTACCTTGAAATTGAACTCAAAGTAGCGGAAATGTTCAATTTTTGCCAATGTTCAGTGAACTTTGTGTAAGTCTAGTTGGTTACTTTTATTAAGTGTATTCTAACCTAACCACTCTGTAATCTGATAAACTCAGTAATCCAGCACACTACAGGTCCCAGTGATGCCGGATTTGTAATGGAGGTCCTGTAGTATAATTTATGTAACATGTCAAGATATCTTACTAATGAAAAGAAGATACCAGATGTACTAAAGCAAATTTCCTAAATTTGCATGTAACAGATAAGTGATCTGTAGATATGTAGATATAAATCCAAATGTACACCTGTTAACCCATTTGGGGCCTAGTTCCTAGATCTTTTGTGTATCCATATGCTCTTGTGCTTCCGTCCACAGGATCGATATGGGGTGCACAATAAATTAGCCACTTAAGTGGCAAAAATCTAAAAAAAATCCACCTGAACCACATCAAGTATCCAATAAAACTATTAATACTAGTTAAGATTTATAAATGATCTGATGACAAAAGAAAAAATAAAACTTAATATTAAATGTCATTCAGTTTGTGAAAACTGTGCATCATGTGGACATACAGTAATTATTATTATTATTTTATTTTTTAAGAGAAGTTCCTTGTGGCTTAGTGCTTCTTTTTTTGATTATAATAATAATAATAATTTAAGAGAAGTGCCAGCAGTAGGAGTGTGGTTGAGCAGGCAGGCAGGAGTGAAGTATGTCTCAAGTTGGACAGGCAGGCAGGAGTGAAGTATGGTGTCAAGTTAGACAGGCTGGCAGGAGTGAAGTATGGTCTCATGTTGGACAGGCAGGCAGGAGTGAAGTATGGTCTCAAGTTGAGCAGGCTGGCAGGAGTGAAGTATGGTGTCAAGTTGGACAGGCAGGCAGGAGTGAAGTATGGTCTCAAGTTGGACAGGCAGGCAGGAGTGAAGTATGGTCTCAAGTTGAGCAGGCTGGCAGGAGTGAAGTATGGTGTCAAGTTGGACAGGCAGGCAGGAGTGAAGTATGGTGTCAAATTGGACAGGCTGGCAGGAGTGAAGTATGGTGTCAAGTTGGACAGGCTGGCAGGAGTGAAGTATGGTGTCAAGTTGGACAGGCAGGCAGGAGTGAAGTATGGTCTCAAGTTGGGCCTCCAGGGTACATGTCTCAAAACTGATCTCAGCTCTAATACACTAAATTTAGCAAGGCAGATTATTTGTTCTTTTAATATTTTATGATCCTTCTGCATTGGGTTTTTTGTGTGATAGTATGTCTGATACTTTGTGTGATAGTATGTCTGATACTTTGTGTGATAGTATGTCTGGTACTTTGTGTGATAATATGTCTGGTACTTTGTGTGATAGTATGTGTGGTACTTTGTGTGATAGTATGTCTGATACTTTGTGTGATAGTATGTCTGGTACTTTGTGTGATAGTAAAGGTCGAGAACCAAAACCTAGTCATTGTGGTAGTCTACAAGCCTCCGGATGCAACATCCCAGCAATTCCAGGAACAGCTGTTAAAAATTGACCACTGTCTGGAAAATCTTCCAGCTCCTGCACCCAACATCTTGCTCCTGGGGGATTTCAACTTAAGGCACCTAAAATGGAGGAATATAGCAAATAATATTGTTGCAGTAATAACACCAGGAGGCAGCTCTGATGAAAACTCTCACTCACACGAGCTTTTAAATCTCTGCACAAAATTCAATTTAAACCAGCAAATAATAGAGCCTACTAGACTGGAGAATACACTAGACCTCATCTTCACTAACAATGATGATCTGATAAGAAATGTCACCATATCAAAAACAATATACTCAGATCACAACATAATTGAGGTTCAGACATGTATGCGTGGAGCCCCAGACCGACATAATGAGACTAGTCACGAGGGAGCATTCACCAAATTCAACTTCAATAACAAAAACATAAATTGGGACCAAGTAAACCAAGTCCTAACCGATATAAGCTGGGAAGATATACTAAGCAACACAGACCCCAACTTATGCCTAGAACAGATTAACTTGGTGGCACTCGATGTATGCACAAGGCTTATTCCTCTAAGAAAAAGGAGGAGTAGATGTAAAATAGAAAGAGACAGGTGCTCCCTTTACACGCGACGGAAAAGAATAACAGAGCGGCTAAAAGAGCGGCAAGATAACCACCCATCTAGAAACCCATCAGTTACACAACCCAGGGCAACATGGGTTTAGAACAGGTCGCTCCTGTCTGTCTCAACTATTGGATCACTACGACAAGGTCCTAAATGCACTAGAAGATAAAAAGAATGCAGATGTAATATATACAGACTTTGCAAAAGCCTTCGACAAGTGTGACCATGGCGTAATAGCGCACAAAATGCGTGCTAAAGGAATAACAGGAAAAGTCGGTCGATGGATCTATAATTTCCTCACTAACAGAACACAGAGAGTAGTCGTCAACAGAGTAAAGTCCGAGGCAGCTACGGTGAAAAGCTCTGTTCCACAAGGCACAGTACTCGCTCCCATATTGTTCCTCATCCTCATATCCGACATAGACAAGGATGTCAGCCACAGCACCGTGTCTTCCTTTGCAGATGACACCCGAATCTGCATGACAGTGTCTTCTATTGCAGACACTGCAAGGCTCCAGGCGGACATCAACCGAATCTTTCAGTGGGCTGCAGAAAACAATATGAAGTTCAAAGATGAGAAATTTCAATTACTCAGATATGGTAAACACGAGGAAATTAAATCTTCATCAGAGTACAAAACAAATTCTGGCCACAAAATAGAGCGAAACACCAACGTCAAAGACCTGGGAGTGATCATGTCGGAGGATCTCACCTTCAAGGACCATAACATTGTATCAATCGCATCTGCTAGAAAAATGACAGGATGGATAATGAGAACCTTCAAAACTAGAGAGGCCAAGCCCATGATGACACTCTTCAGGTCACTTGTTCTATCTAAGCTGGAATATTGCTGCACACTAACAGCACCTTTCAAGGCAGGTGAAATTGCTGACCTAGAAAATGTACAGAGAACCTTCACGGCGCGCATAACGGAGATAAAACACCTCAATTACTGGGAGCGCTTGAGGTTCCTAAAACTGTATTCCCTGGAATGCAGGAGGGAGAGATACATGATTATATACACCTGGAAAATCCTAGAGGGACTAGTACCGAACTTGCACACGAAAATCACTCACTACAAAAGCAAAAGACTTGGCAGACGATGCACCATCCCCCAATGAAAAGCAGGGGTGTCACTAGCACGTTAAGAGACCATACAATAAGTGTCAGGGGCCCGAGACTGTTCAACTGCCTCCCAGCACACATAAGGGGGATTACCAACAGACCCCTGGCAGTCTTCAAGCTGGCACTGGACAAGCACCTAAAGTCAGTTCCGGATCAGCCGGGCTGTGGCTCGTACGTTGGTTTGCATGCAGCCAGCAGCAACAGCCTGGTTGATCAGGCTCTGATCCACCATGAGGCCTGGTCACAGACCGGGCCGCGGGGGCGTTGACCCCCGGAACTCTCTCCAGGTAAACTCCAGGTACTTTGTGTGATCATATGTCTGATACTTTGTGTGATAGTATGTCTGATACTTTGTGTGATAGTATGTGTGGTACTTTGTGTGATAGTATGTGTGGTACTTTGTGTGATAGTATGTGTGGTACTTTGTGTGATAGTATGTGTGGTACTTTGTGTGATAGTATGTGTGGTACTTTGTGTGATAGTATGTCTGGTACTTTGTGTGATAGTATATGTGGTACTTTGTGTGATAGTATGTCTGATACTTTGTACTGCTATTGGTTTGCGTGCAGCCAGCAGCAACAGCCTGGTTGATCAGGCTCTGATCCACCAGGAGGCCTGGTCACAGACCGGGCCGCGGGGGCGTTGACCCCCGGAACTCTCTCCAGGTAAACTCCAGGTACTTTGTGTGATCATATGTCTGATACTTTGTGTGATAGTATGTCTGATACTTTGTGTGATAGTATGTGTGGTACTTTGTGTGATAGTATGTGTGGTACTTTGTGTGATAGTATGTGTGGTACTTTGTGTGATAGTATGTGTGGTACTTTGTGTGATAGTATGTGTGGTACTTTGTGTGATAGTATGTCTGGTACTTTGTGTGATAGTATATGTGGTACTTTGTGTGATAGTATGTCTGATACTTTGTACTGCTATTTCATGTTAGAATTTACTCTTAGCTTAAGCTTGCCTGGAATGCCTTGCATAAATATGGTCTTTTCTATATAAGAAACATGTTTCAGATGTTTGTTACTGAAAAGTAAATGTTGTTTTATTGAAAAAGAAAACCCCAGGGTTCAAGACCAGTCTAGTCCACTGTGTGCCGAAAAGTTATTATTTGTCAGTGTTTTATAGCACAATTATATCACTTCACACATAAGTAGCTTAGATATTATCCTTGTGTACTATATATAATAAATAATTGTGTGATATTAAAAGCTGCCAAATATTTTCCTTTATTTCAACCAATTCAAATGTTCTAATTACGTACAGAGTTGTATAGTGAGATGCTAATGGAGCTCGGAGTTGGGGATTTTGGAGAAAGGAAAGAGCGACCAGCCTCCCGGCTGAAGGGAAGGGATACTTCGCCTGTCCGACCCCTGCCAGCCATCCCTTCAGGCCTTCCAGGAGTCACTTCACATGGGCTTCAAGTAAATATAATTCTCTTCAACCCATGCTACTTTCTTTCAATAAACCCACTGGGCAGTGTGGCCCAAAAGAAAAAGCAATAGTTTCTCCCATGCTATCTATTTAGCCATATTAGTTGTGAATAATTATCTATATTTGCTTAGTGAAAAAATAATTTATCTGAATATTTTTTTCCAGGGCGAACATTTTCTGAGTGTACAAGGCCTAAGCAAGGATCAACTTAACCATATCTTCAACTTGGCTCAAACATTCCGTGTGTGTATCAATAAGGAGCGACCTCTTGAACACATTCTAAAGGTATAATTTCACTAAAGTAATTTCTTTTTTTTTTTGGGGGGGGGGAAGGTACACTACAGGACAAAATACAGTGGTACCTCGAGTTATGAACTTAATTCATTCCAAAAGACTGTTCCAGTGCCGATACCAAATGAATTTGTTCGCATAAGGAATAATGTAAATTAGATTAGTCCATTTCAGACCTCCCAAAATACACTTACAAAAGCACTTGCAAAAATACACTTACATAATTGTTCGATACACAAATAACCCACACATAGATGAGAGGAGCTTACGACCTCTCATATGTGCGGGTTATTTGTGTATCGTTCCAGTCACAGTATTGTGCCTTTTTTTTTTTTGTTATTTATAATTGTTCGAGTTGAGAGCTGTTGGAAACTTGAGATACCACTGTATAAGAAAAGAGGAAATCCTCTCAAATAATTATAGTGTAGTGTATAATCTTCAGGTTGGTTATGGAACTAATCCCCCATTTAGTGATAAACAATGTCAGATTTTCACTAAATGAGATAGTTCTTTGTACTCTGTTATAATCAGTGATGAGTTCAGAGAAATTTTTCATTTTTTCAAAATTGGTAAAGACAGATTACTAAGTAAAGGAGAAGTTCTTGCTACACAGAATTGTTCCCAAATGGCTTCTTAGTTGCTAACTAAAGTTGCACTAGCAAGTGCTGCACTAATCAGGGGTTATCTTCAAACTTCTTTATTGTTCTGTCTTGTGATCTTCCATCTTTTTTGTTTAAAGTATTCATGTGAGAACATTCCAGGTTAATGGTTAAAATTTTATATTGATGTACTCCTGCATTAATTTCAATATATTTTCTATTTCATGCTCTTAAGACTGGAATGGCAAAGTTACTGGAGGTAAGACTTAATTTCCATGATAAACTATATACAGTATACTGTAATGAAGCCAGCATGTGACTAGCATCTTAAAACAATGAGCTGTATTTTAATTAAATATTTGTGGAAATTTATGGAGTGACAAATAGAATTTACTCTTAGGTATTACACTTGTTATTTTGTGTGTGTTAGTGTTCTAGAGATCGTTCTTGAGATGGAATAGAGATGTAATAGAGAAGGGACACTGAAACATACCTTATCAAATCCATCCATATACATTTGCTCAATCTATTTTTTTATGTTACCCAAGCCATAGCTTTTGTAACCTTTCTTATTATGTACCAGCTGACTTTTCCACCACATGTATAACTACTACTACTACCTCTATTTGTACTACACCTCACTCAAAGCTTATATATACCCTGTGTGTCCGTGTACTGTTTGTAACGGCCCTATCAGCATCGCCATACTGTATTAACTGTACTAACAGGACAGTAAATTTCACCATGGCCCTTAATCCTTTGCTGTTTTGGTCGTATATATACGTCTTACAAGCCACCGTGTTTGACGTTTATATACTCAAAAATTCTAGCGGCTTCAAATCAAGCAGGAGAAAGCTGGTAGGACCATATGTGAGAGAATGGGTCTGTGTGGTCAGTGTGCACCATATAAAAAGAAATCCTGCAGTACGCAGTACATAATGAGAAAAAAAACTCCGACCTTTTTTTGGGAAGATTAAAACGCTGACTTTGTGGTGTATTTTTGTACAGTATTTATGGTTGTATTCTCATTTTCTTGGTCTCATTTGATAGAATGGAAAACATATTACAGAAATAGAGGTGATTTTGATTGGTTTTACTATGAAAAGAACCTTGAAATGGAGCTCAAAGTAGGGAAAATGCTTGATCTTTGCCGATGTTCAAAAGTAAACCAGTGATGTCATTGTCCAATAAGTGTCCAACTAGCCATTCTAAAATGCAGTCACGAATGGGTTGACATTATTTATACAATTATTACAGTATTGCAGTAGTCTGCATAACAGTAACTCTTATATTTTTTGTTTGAATAAAATTTCAAAATAGAAAGCAAGAGTAATATCAGAGGGGCCTGGAGACATGACTGATGAACAAAGAAAATGTTATTTTAGAGCCAGGAATGTCTGCATTGTTCATTCTGGACCCTATTTTGAAATTGGCATATTTTTTAATTTGCGTGAAATTGGCCAAATTGCAAATTTCTGACCACATTATTGGGTAGTTGAAATCGGTAAATGGGCAGTTTCTTGTACTCAGTCGATAGAACAAATGGAGTTCTAAAGAAATAGCTATGAGTTTGGTTGACTGGAACAATGGAATTAGTGGAAAATAGGGCTCAAAGTGGGTGAAATCGCTGATTCGTAAATATCGCCGAGGTCGCTAGCTTCGCAAGAGCATAATTCCATAAGTTTTCCATAAAATTTCATTCTTTTAGTGTCATTACCATCAGGAAAAGATTCTATATCATTTCATTATAATTTTTTTTTTTTTTCGAAAATTTTTCGACACCAGGAGACACCTCAGGATTTGGGGTTTCAACAGTCAAGGGGTTTAGAGGAAGTCTGAGTCTTGCACTGAAGGTTTTGGCAAAAATACAAGAAAAACTCTTACTTTTGACCAGAAAATCAAAGTAATTAAACAGTATTAGGATGATTACTTTACAAGATTAAGATTTATTTTTTGAAGTATCCCTGTCAGCAATTTTCTAAGGTTTGACTTGCATCCATTTTGACTTATGACCGATTGTTCGGAACCAAGCTTGGTCGTAAGTAGGATGGTAGGTTTATTTTAGTGCTAGGAATGCCTGCATTGTTTATTCTGGACCCTATTTTGAATTTGGCAGCTCTTGAAATTTTTGTGAAATTGGCCAAATTACCGATTTCTGACTACTTTATTGGGTAGTTGAAATTGGTAAATAGGTGGTTCCTTGTACTCAATTGACAGAAAGAATAGTAGTGAAATAGCTATGAGTTTGGTAGACTGGAACAATGGAATGGGCCAGAAATAGGGTGTAAAGTGGGTGAAATCGCTGATGCGTAAATATCGCTGTTGGGTTGAGCGTATTCTAACTTAACCACTCTGTAATCCAGCACCCTACAGGTCCTGATGATGCCGAATTAGTGATGGTCAACCTGTACGGTGGAACCTTGGCTTATGAGTTTAATCCATTCCATGACCTTGCTTGTATCCCGATCTGCTCATATGCTGAGTCAATTTCCCTCATTTAAATTAATTGAAATGACATAAATCCCTTTCAGTGGAATTCCTGCTCTCAAGAGGCAGGAATATGATGATATCAACTCTGTGGCTTATTTATCTATCACAATTCATCTAATATGACATAAGAAACAATATAAATAACATAGAACCATGATATATACTCTAGAATGAATAAAATATGTCATTGTGTGACAAGTGGTGGAAGCCATTTCCTACCTCAAGCGGCCGCCTTGTTGTGAGGGAGACCTCCCGCCATACCCCAACACTCCTGACACTACCATCCCAGCTTACGTGTTCAGTTCCACTTCTCTGCTTCAAGTTAGCTGTGTTTGTGAATTGTGTTTTCATCTTTTAATTACCATACATTGTATCTGCCAAGCAATCATGACACCCAGTAGGCATGCCAGTGTTGCTGAATGACTTACTGACTTGACTAACTGAATTACTGACTTGACTAACTAAATTACTGACTTGACTAACTGAATTATTGACTTGACTAACTGAATTACTGACTTGACTAACTGAATTACTGACTTGACTAACTGAATTACTGACTTGACTGACTTATGAACTTGACTGACTGACTTACTAACTTGACTGACTGACTTACTGACTGATTACTGGCTTACTTGTTTGACTGACTGACTTACTGACTTGACTGACTGACTTGACTGACTCAATGAGTTAACTCACTGGCTGACTGAATGAGTTAACTCACTGACTGAATGACTTGATTGACTTACTGACTTATTGAATGACTTTAAGTTAGACTGAGGACCCTGAAATAGTGTCTAAAGCAGCTGATGCCTTACCATCAGTTGTATAATGTACTGCAGGGTAAAATAGAACAGAAATCCATTACAGAATTTATGCACACTCAAGTACAACCATCAATTTCAGTACCAGAACCTCTACCATCCACCTCAGCCCAGTAGGGCCACAACATAACTCTCCACTCTCTTCATAATCATCCACAAACACCAGCACCTACAATTTAAGGTAAGAAATACTATTATTTCTGTTGCAGTTATAGTCTTAAGCAGTAAAAACAACATAATACATCGCGGACATGTGAACTCAATTCTAACAGTGGTCCCTCGATAATCGTAGTTCTCAAAGTTCTCAAGAATCGTAGATTTTTAACACTTGCGGCAGCAACAGCAGCGACCTCCAAGCAGCGGCTGGCTGGCTGGCTGGCTGGCTGGCTGGCTGGCTGGCTGGCTGGCTGGCTGGCTGGCTGGCTGACTGACTGCCTGACTGACTGACTGCCTGACTGCCGGGACTGCCTGCGGGCCTGACTGCTGACTGACTGCCTGACTGACTGACTGACTGACTGACTGACTGACTGACTGCCTGACTGACTGCCTGACTGACTGACTGACTGACTGACTGACTGCCTGACTGCCTGACTGCCTGACTGCCTGACTGCCTGACTGACTGCCTGACTGACTGCCTGACTGACTGCCTGACTGACTGCCTGACTGACTGCCTGACTGACTGCCTGACTGACTGCCTGACTGACTGCCTGACTGACTGCCTGACTGACTGCCTGACTGACTGCCTGACTGACTGCCTGACTGACTGCCTGACTGACTGACTGACTGACTGACTGACTGACTGCCTGACTGACTGCCTGACTGCCTGACTGACTGACTGACTGACTGACTGACTGACTGACTGACTGACCTGACCTGACCTGACCTGACCTGACCTGACCTGACCTGACCTGACCTGACCTGACCGACTGACCGACTGACCGACTGACCGACTGACCGACTGACCGACTGACCGACTGACCGACTGACCGACTGACCGACTGACCGACTGACCGACTGACCGACTGACCGACTGACCGACTGACCGACTGACCGACTGACCGACTGACCGACTGACCGACTGACC